ATGCCAATGAACCTAAAATGGGTAAAGAGAAAAGATGTTTTTCTTTCCGTACATTAACTTCATGGTATGTATTGAAATAAGGTAGCATGAGTCTCTGAGCTTCACTTTTTGTTTTTCATAGCTATTACTATTGTAGTTCCTTTGCCTTTCCATATATATTTAGAATCAGCTTGTTTCTACAAAAAGGAAGCAACAACAACAAAACTGCTAGAATTTTGATTGGAATTATGTTGATGTAACAATCAATTTGAGAGAAATTGACTTCTTAGCATTTAAACTTCTAATCTGCATATTGCTTCACTAATTTAGTCCAAGTTTTTTCATTAGTGAATTTTAGTCTTCAATAAGTGGAACTTATAATGTTCTTGTTGTTTTTTTTAATAATAGTTGTAGATGAACACTATACCTTTATTTTATTTATTTATTTTTATGTGGTGCTAAGGTTTGAACCCATTGCCTCACCCGTGGTAGGCAAGCACTCTACCACTGAGCCACAACCCTAGCTCTACTTACAGTGTTTTGAAAAAATACTACCTAGGTATTTCATGTTTTCTTGTTGCTTTGTTGATATAAATGATATTACTTCTTAAATTTGAATTTCTAATCATTCATTGCTTGCATATGCAAATACAATTCATTTTTGTATATTAACGTATATCCCCCAATCTCGGTCATCTGGTTAGTTCTAATATCATCCTTTAACATTTATTGGGATTTTTTCTATGTAGATATTCTTGTAATTTGCAAACAGAGACAATTTTGGATTTACTTTGTAATCTGTGCATTTTATTTCCTCTTGCTCAATTGCATTGCCTGGAATCTCCAGAGCAATGTTGAATCATTTTGTGATAGACACGTTAATTTGAAGAAAGTTTCCATCATCCCCATAAGATGAAGGTAGGATTGCTATCTTCTTCTATGGAGTTTGCTTTTGTTTTGGTTTTTGAGGGGTTCTGGGGATTGAACTCAGGGCCTGTGTATGCTAGGCAAGCACTCTACCACTGAGCTACATCCCAGTCTTTATTTTTATTCTGAGACAGGGTCTCACTCACTTGCCCAGGCCTCCAACTTGCCATCCTCCTTCTTTAGCCTCCTGAGTAGCTGAGATTATAGGTATGTGTCACTWCCTCCTATGGAACCTCAATTCTGAGAAAACAGCTGTTGATATTCAGCTCATTAATAACAATACTTAATACCTATTTGACCACCCGCTGTGTGAAGCCCCAGTACTCTGTCATTTACATATATTATTTCATTTGCTCCTTAAACCAGCCTTGTGAAATAATATCATTAACCTTATTTTTGAATTGAAGCAACTGAGGTCCAAAGAACTTGGCAGATTTGTCTCAGATACCACAGATGTCTTTTTCAAATGGTGAATTCACATCCATGGCTTACTATGTCCAAAGCCCATGTTCTTCTCACTATACTATTCTGCTTTTGGTCCCCATCATTTTTAGCTGATATCAAGCTTGTCTATATGCATGAATGGCCCTTGTAGAAGCTATGAAAAATTATTGGCTACCTGGGTTCCCTCAAGCCAGCTGAAAGTGAATCTCAGGCTGGGGCTAGGACTGGGACTTGCCAGTCTTTTTTAAACTCCCCATTTGATGTTGAAGTTTAGTTGAGAACACTGGACCTTCTGTCCCTATAAAGTGGGCCTGATGATCTGAGGTGCTTGTTCCTGCCCTTATTGCACAATGATCTGTGGTGCCTGCTCCCTGCATTTGGAAGAAACGTGTAATGAATACTTAGCAGGCGGCAACTGCTACAGCTGCTTCAGGCTGGGGAGGCTCAGGGCTATAAAAGGCAAAGCTTTCTCCTTCATTTATTAAATGCTAGTAAATCCAAGGAGTGTGTCATGGTATTTTAGCATCAACTTATCACACATGTTTGTGCTGGCTTACAGTTGAAATCCTGATGGAAAACAGGTGGGATTCCTCAAAGACACTGTTAAGGGCTTAATGGGTTACAAAGGGATGCTAATGAAAAAGTTTGATGAGAGGAAAATTGCCATTTCAGAGGATATGGTGGGCTCTGATTCCTCAGACAGATTTGGCCTGCTGGAGTATCTTTCAAAGCAGAAAGCAGCATTCCTTGCTGCACTATGGGAGGCGAGAGCATCCCTGCAATGTGTTCCTGGAGTGGTCTAGATGTGGAACCTTCTCTCCAAAAAGAGCATTTTGAGGTCTGAGGCTGAATCCTTAGCAGATAAAATGATTGCATTTTTAGATTAGTTATTACTAAAGCTTTAAGATGCCTGTAGAAAGTATCCTACTTCAAATATGAGATATAATATAGATAATATCACCTTGTTTGAAAATTTGCTATTACATGGGTCAAACCCTTTGTGTAATTATTTTAACCTTTGTTTTTCTAATTATAAGAGTAAAATTGGCTGGGCATGATGGCAGACACCTGTAATCCCACCAGCTCAGGAGACTGAGGCAGGGAGATGGCAAGTTCAAAGCCAGCCTCAGAAAAAAGTGAGGCCCTAAGCAACCCAGTGAGACCCTGTCTCTAAATAAAATACAAAATAGGGCCAGGGATGTGGTTCAGTGGTCAAGTGCCCCTGGGTTCAATCCCCAGTATACCCTTGCCCCCCCAGAAGGAGTTCCATCATGAAAAAAATCAGAAAATGCAGAACAGTAGCCCATGCAGCTGTAGCAGTTGCCGCCTGCTAAGGAAAATTTTTGCACGACTAGTACCATGATAGAACTTTCCCATACATCACCCCATTTAGTCCTTACAATAGCTCTGGGGGGAGAGGGGAAGCCAGTATTTCTATTTTCAGATAAGAACACTGAAGCTTAAGGACATTTAATGATTTGCACAGAACTCCCATGGAGGCAGGTGGTCTGGCTCCCAAGCTCCTTCTTATCCCCATGATACTTCAACAGCCATAATACATTTTGGAATATTTTATTATAGACTTTTTTTTTTTTTTGGTCAAATGAGTATTTTCATTTATTTATTTATTTTTGTTATTCTTTGTTTTCCTGGTGCTAGGGTTATGGCTGGGGGTATAGCTCAGTGGTAGAGCACTTGCCTAGCATGAGTAAGCCTGGGTTGGAACCCTAGAGAAAAGACATACAAATTTATTACCTGTAGTGGGAGGGAACAATCACAGGAGAGTGAGTATGCATTAATCCCAGAGATTTAGAAGTTTATATACCTTCTTCATAGAGACAGGAAAGTTAAAGGGGTCGGGGGAGACACAGGCAATTTAGAGAGAGTACATGATTTCTAGGGGAGATGAATGGACCCAGAGAACAAAATACATCTAGGCTCTGGGTGTGGCGTCAACTCTAGTCTTCCTTCCTGTGATATAAATCATCTCCCTTTGGTAATTAGATGTCTGGGAAAATAATTCACAACTGGGTATCTTCTGGGGGATCTAGCCTTTAAGTAGTTAGGGAAACTCAGAGAAAGACCCTCCTTTTGCATCACAAGAGTCCAGAGGGTGAGAAATGGGTGTGAGAGTCAGAGTTGTCTCGGGTCTGATCCTGCTTCTTCAGTTCAAAGTACTGAGTATGTCTAAGTTCTGTCACTGAAAGTCTGAGAAGTTCCCAGAGAAAGGACCTTTCAAAGTCAGTGCCTCAGTAAGCCGTCCTATCTGGGTCTCCAGAAGAGAGGTCACTGGAGGTTCTAAGAGTTCCCAGAAATGGGAACCTCATCTCAGGACAAGCAATGTCTGGCTTTTGTTAGGGAAAAGAATTTCAGCACATGCCAGTCCCAGACACACAAAGGTGTATTTAGGAAAGCAGAGATACACTCAAGGAAGAATGGTGGCCATCTCCGGAAGRAGAGACAGCCTAACATTTTGATGGGATGTTTGAGTTTCGTACTTTTGAACCCATGAAAAATCCACTTTTGCAGGCTGAGAGTGTGATTCGGTGCTAGAGTGCTTGCCTATCATGTATAAGGCCCTGGGTTCAATACCCAGCACATGCGCGCGCGTGCGCGCGCGCGCACACACACACACACACACACACACACGTCCCGTTTCACTTCCAGTTCTTTTTTTTCTTTTTAATATAACTTTATAACAGGAGAAATTTTCCACTTAAGTTTGAGCCTTTGAGCATGTACTTGGCAGGTGACACACTATTTGAGCACTGGCCTTTCAGGGAGTTCCTTCCTCCCAGGTAGAGTTTGTCTTGGCAAACTTGGCTGTTGACACAACCGGGTGCAAAGGGCRAAGCACTCTGGAAAGGAGTCTGCTGCCGGGAATGCTGGGATGGCAGAGCCAAAGGGGAGTAAAGAACTGGGTCTTCCCACCACACACTGAGGCAACTCAGAATGCTTTTTGTTTGTTTGTTTGTTTGGACAGGATGATATGGGATATAGAAAAGGGTGACCTTCCCACTGTTCCATGTAAATCCAGCAAGAGGGAGCYGAGGGTCCTTGCTGGGTTGCTGGGGGCGGTCCTGGAGCATCCTCCCAACCTACCCCTGTAGGCTGAGTAGGCCAAGACTGTGGGGGGTGAGGCAAAGAAACTGATGGACTAGAAACAGGCCCCAGGAAGACAATGGCAAGCTGTGGAGAAGCAAGGCAGGACTGGATTTCTGGCCACCAGGGAAGAGCAGATACCACGTTTGCTTTAGAACCTTGCACAACTGAAAATTCATGACACTTCCTGATCCAAGATGGTAGAAGTTGGCAAAATTTCTTTGATCACTTCTGTTTCAGGTGAAAGAGGCAAAACCCACTTGCACATTTCTCCGGGCAAGGTCTTGGCTTGGCTTCCTTCACTTCACAATAGATTCATTGACCCACGCTGCAGTCTGTGGGAGGGTGGCTGGGGACCACAAACKCGAATCTTCACAGGACAGAGTAGTTTCTCACTGCGCATTGGGATCCCCTGCTTTCTTTCAATTTAAGAGCTTTGCTAATTAACTCCTAGGGCTTCCGGTGGGCGAGTCGCCCCCAGCACTCTGCAAATGGCCCTGTGTTTTCCTCCCTTTCGGATCTTAACCCCATGATTTTTGGCTGGAGAATAAAGGAAGGAAAATCTGAAATGTTTTCTCTCACATTCAAAGCCCAGATTCCTACAGGGGAGAATTTAAAACAAACCCCTCTTGGACTCTCGGCAGAAGTGGACAGCAGTATCCCTGCAGGTGAAGGACAGAGTAAGAGAGAGTCTGTTTCTCATTAGGATTCTTGGCAAAGCCTTTGAGGAGCATCTGGAAAAGAAAGGAGAAAGACTGTCAGTAAGGTTTGTTTAATAAGCCCCTTCTCCCTCACGTCTGTTGGCTTGCCCCTCTGCAGGTCATCTGGGACCAGCTTTCCCAATCCCTCTGTCCTCCCTCGTGTGTCTGCACATAATCTGGGTATATTGCAAATAAAGTAGAGGGTCCAAATAAGGAAAACCCCTTCACCTTCATTTTTCTAAATGTCAAATGAAGTTTTCCCCTTGACAATCTCACTTACACAGATGCAGTGGAGCTCAAGGGGAATGATAAGGATCCCTTGTATTTATTGTGCAGATTTATAGTTTCCAGGGCAATGCCTTAGCCCAGCCATTGCTTTCAGATGATCACCACAACCTTTGCTGGCAGTAGCATATCTTCACTTCACACATAGGAATAATAAAAATAAACAACAACAACAAAATAACCCTGAACCCAGAGAGTAGGTACCTTACACAAAGTTTCACATACAGGAGGAGCCAGAGTTGGGACTGAATTGGATACCTATCTACCAAAGGGTATAGTAGATCACACCATTTCCCAAGGCATGTCATCTTTCCTGGATGTCTCAGGTCTTGGTTTAAATGTTGCTTCCTCCAGGAAGCCCTCCCTGATCCAACCCTACCCTCAGGTTAAGTTAGGTCGCCCTAACATAATAGAGGGATCAGAAAAGCTGGACCCGCTTGACCTATAGAGGGAAAAGCTGACAAACATGAGAGGGGAGAGAAGAGCTTATTAAATAAACCTCACTGACAGTCCTTCTCTCTCGTTTTCCAGATGTGCCTGGAAAAACTTTCCTAAGGATTCTAATGAAAAACAGATTGCACAGGTTTGTGGCTCTGCACTTTTTCATCACAATTTTTAATTGGAATTTTTGTGATTATTCAGTTAATATTTTCCTCTCCAGCAAGACTGTAAGCCCTCTGAGAGCAGGAACTGCATCCACCTTGTTCAGCCTCGTACCTGCATCACCCAGTACAGTGTTAGTGTGTACACATGCGTAGACACACACACACGCACACACACACACACACACACACAGTGTTTGTGAACTGAACAAATGAATGAAGCATTGCCCAACACAGTTGGGACAGCTGAACCTAGACCAGCTTCCGTGCCTTCTTTGTGAGCTCCCCAATGAAGGGTTTACTAAAGAAATTTCTGGAGATTCCGTTATGCTTCTCATTGATTCTAATTATGTGAAAACATTTTGCTAAACTCTAAGTTCCTAAAAAAATTGGAGACCAGAAGACTGAATCATGATAGTTCTACATGCCACAGGCCTAGTGAGCAAGAGGGATGAATAGACCATGGGTGCCTGGGTGATGGCTGGTGTGCTGATAATGAGAAGAATTCACCAACACACACACAAAAAAAGAATTTCAGAGAGTTTAATGGAGGAAGATCCACAGCAAGGGTGCAGTGGAGACAGTACAAAGGTGTCTGCTCATGGACTGAGAGGGGATCTGGATTTATATGAACTTCTGAGTTCCTTTTCACCTCTGATGGGCTTTGTGCCAGAAGAGGTTTGTGCTAAACAAGGAGTGATTGACAGATTCCTGTGCCTTGCCCATAATACTTATTGTGTAGGTGCCAAATGCTTGTTCTCAGATTTTACATTAGATGCATGAGATGCAAGTAATATATATGGGGTCTTTTTTTTTTTTTTTTTGAGTTGTAGATGGACACAGCACCTTTATTTCATTTATTCATTTTTATGTGTTGCTGAGGACTGAACCCAGTGCCACACACATGCCAGGCAAGTGCTCTACCACTGAGCCACAACCCCAACCCTGTATGGGGTCTTAATAGGAGCTTTCTTTTCTTAGGTTACTTTTGGTCAAACTTGGGGGTTTCCATGCATGCCCCTTCTCAGAAGGGTTGGTCAATTTTTTGAATAACAGGATCTTGCTGTTTATACTTAATGGAAGTTAGCTCCTCCAATAACCCAGTCAGGCAGGAAGAAAGAGACCTCCTTAGGCTCACATCAGCTCTGCTAATCGAGGTGGGTGGGGCCTGGGACCAGGGTCCCTAATCTATCCTGCCTCACCCAACACTATGGATCCCAAGATGATCTTTCAGAACATTCTCTCGTCCTTGAGAATGATCATGTGATGGCCCAATGGGGAGAGGAAAGTGTGGTGTCGTACAAGTTGGTAACAACAAGGACAGAGACCTGAGGAAGCACAGAGCTGGAAGCCATTGTACTTACATGTCCAGAATTCCKCCTCTTGGGTTCAGAGCATCTGTGGAAAGGCTCTTGATCTACAGCACGTGGAGGCCCAGCCAGAGGCTTTCAGAAACTCTGAGGTATTCCATTTCTCTGTGTCAGAACTGTAGGAGCTATTGAGGGAAGGGGAGGGTGCGACACAGTTTCAACATTAATACAAATGAGTTCTAACCAAAACTGTCCCCTCCTGTCAGGGCAGTTCTCCATCCGGCCAACCTGATTTCCTCAGGATCAGCTTATGAATTCCACTGAACCAACCTTCCTTCCCTGGGAACAAACAGAGATTGTCTTGCCACCTGACTAATCTCTATGTAAACCTCTGCGTGGGGCAGCAGGATGCAAGACAAGCATTTCACCAGGAAGAGCTTGCTTCAACAGACAGGTGGGTTTATAAGACAGTTTTTTTTTAGTAGACCTCATAAAAGACTGTTGTCATGTTCAGTGCCCCCAGATCTAATGTTGTATGATTTTTATTTATTTATTATTATTATTTAATAATTATTATTTAATAATTTATTATTATTTAATCAGCAGAACTAGCAGGGGAGAGTAAGGGTTCTGAATTACCCTAAGGGAAGAYGTTTGCATTCCTGCCAGGGACCTGAGAGAATGTGCTCTGGTCACTTTAAGCTAAAAGTGATCATCACCCAATGCAGCCCTGAGAAAAAAAATCTGTGGAACTGCTTTAAACAGTGACTAATTGGAAAYGATCTTGGATATTCTATACTCTTTCATTACGGTTACCCCAGGCTGCTTTATCTACAGTTCAGACAGAGCTGGCAGCTGGAAAGGGCGGGGGGTTGGGGAGATTGCTCCTAGAGGCTGGATGGAGCCTTTGCCAAAGGCTGACTGTCTCAGGGCTTCAGAGGAGAGCCACGTCTGGGAGCCCCCCTCCTGGCCTTCCTGGATGCCTAGGGAYCTCCTGAGTGAGGAGAGAAAGCACATTTTCCCTGTGGTATCGTATACCTTTTAGAGCCGTGCTTTTAGCAGAAGGCCTTTGCTTTTCTGGGCTTGGTCTTTTGAAGCCACTGCCAGATGAAATCAGTTCTGCTGTGTCCAGAGGGGACACTAGACAGATCATTATATTCTGAGCTTTTTACCAGGGCTGCATTCCTCACAGGAATGTGTGTCTTTCTATGACTGGGCAGGCCTGATCTTGGCTTGCAGCACTKATTGGTACCTGCCTCATTCATCATGGTATCCCTGGTGACAAGCACAGTACCGAACCTCTAGTAGACACTCGAGAAATATAGGGTGTGGACAGACAGTCAATGTTGTGTGTATGTTCGTCCCACAACTGCCAAGAAAATATAAGAAGTTGTGGTGGGTGTCATAGGTACCTGGGAGCAGGGAGAGTCAGGATGGGTTATGTTCATTTATCCCAGGGAGATGCAGGTTTTCTCAGAAACAGCGTACAGAAGAAGGAGGTGAGGGCCCTGGGAACCAAGTACCCCCCTCCCATAAGTCTTCCTCCTTTATCAGTGAGCAAGAGCTCAAAGGACAGATTTACTTTTCTGTCATTCATCTGGACTGTATAATTTCATTACTTGTGTAAACAGAATATCCTCTTCTGACTCCAAGGAATGTTGGGGTGATAAATGGCAAGGACAAGGTACTACACAGAGTCTGGACTTGGATGACAAAACCAATCCCTCCCAAGAACCGTGCCTGGGAGCTGCCCAGTCTCTTAGAAAGAACCACGCAGTTAATGGTTCTCAGGTTATTGAGGGCCACAGCCCCTAGCAACCTCATCTCCTCAGTGTGCTCCCCGGACACCCAGAGCACCCCAGTCTAAAGAGGCACCAACTAAAGCAGGTTTAAGAGTAAGCTGTGGCCTTCTGCACGTGTGGGCTTGCTTCCAGGAGTGTTGGGTGAGGGACCCTTTGTCACGTTCTTTCCTCTTACAGATAATATATTTGCCTGAGAAAGCAGCCTTGAAAACTAGTYATTTTAGCTTTCTTTTTTCAAATGAGAAGATTAAACAAAAAAAACTTTGGGGACAMACTTGAACATAGAAACTTTAAATAACATAGATGGAATGTCAAATAGTACTRAGGAAATACTGCTAATGATTTCTTGGCTGCCTTTTTAACAAATTATGTCAAGTGATTGACTTACCAATCTAAAAATAACATTGATTGAGTTTCTTTGAGGATTTTGCATATTCTTCAAACAGAATTTTGTTAATCAAAGTACAGTTATTGTAAAACACCCTGCAATTAAGAGTCCATCTAAGGCCATGCCCTCTTTTCTGAAAGATAATTTTAATTTAGTGGCATATCAATAGCATCTTTAGGAAAAGCGATCCTCTCTAATTATTTAAATCTTTTCAGTCTCTAATCCATTCRATGAGTAAAGAATGTGTTTATATTTAATAGAGACAGAGAAGACTGACYTGGGCCAGAGAATTTGTCTTTGGGGAATATTATTGGACTATACAAACTGCATAAAAAGTTAATTTCTGAAATTACAGGCACAGAGACTTCTGTCGTGGTATGTCATTGTTGTTTATGAAGTTTCAACAGTTCTGGAAAGAAAAGCTCTTTTAACTGGAAAGTCATGGGTGGAATAACAATACTGTAATTTCCATTTATTAAGTTATAGATGGTTCCCAACTTACAGTGGTTTGACAGGATTTTTCAACTKTACAATGGTGTAAAAGTTATGCATGTTCACTATTCACAATAGCTGACCTGGACTCTGTGCAGATGAAAGGGTAAAGGGAATGTGGTCTAAATATACACAATGGAATATTATTCAGCCATAAAAAGAATAATATTCTATTATTTGCAGCAAAATGAATGGAACTAGAGGAGGTGAAATAAGTCAGATGCAGAAAGGCAAACTCTACAGGTTCTCTCTCATACATGTTTTTTTMAAGTCAATCAAAATGTATCATAGTGATTACTAGAGGCTGTAAAGTATGGGAGGAGGGAAGAGAGTGGGAAGTTAGATAACAGGTACCCAAACAGATAAAAATAAGGAAGTCTAGTGTTCTGTAGAACAGTGGGCAGCTGTAGTTCACAATAGCYTATTGTAYATTTTGTGAGTAACTAGAAGAGAGGACTTCAAAGGCTCAAAACACAAAGTATCGATAAGAAGATATAAACATTAATTACTCTGAAATGATCAGTACATATTGTATACGTATATTAAAATAACATTCTGTATCTCATAAATATGTATAAGCATTATGTGTTCATCAGGAATAGTAAAAATGTTTTAGGAGATAGAAATGTTAACTACCCYTATTTGATCATTACACACTGAGGACATTTATCATATTATCACACAATACCCCATAAATTTGGACAACTAAAGAAAGGGATGCTCATTCAATAGAAACCATATTTTAAGTTTGAATTTTGATCTTTTCCCAGGCAAGGAATATGAAATCTAATCCTTTCTTGATGCCTGGGGGCAGTGAACACAGCTCTGTCAGCCACACGCTCACAAGGGAAAGTCACCAGTACTGTTGCCATCTACGATGGTTGGTAAGGTAGGTGTACTAAATGCATTTTCAATGTATTTGGCTTATTTGGAGGCAACTCTATTTTAAGTCCAAGAACATCTGCATTTCCTTTTATTGTATGACAAGCATTCTGCAAAGGACCTTAAATACATTAGCTAAATCTTTTTTCTTARTCTTTAGGATTAAAATTTTAATTCATTTACTTTCAACCTTGTTTTTCCAGGAATCTGTATCCCACAAGTTTTGTTTTGTAGTTCTTTCATAGTTGTGATTTTTATGAAGAATTTCTGTTTAAAATTCTTGTTCTCAGCCCCTCCTTCCAGTGGCTCTTGGGACCAAGCACATCCTCATGTGAAGCAGACCAAGATCAAGATCCCCCATGGTAAAAAAAATTGGTCAAAGAAAGAGTGATGTATGAAAAATAAGCAAAACAACTGGAAGAGAAGATTAAAAAAAAAAAAAGAAAGCTGAATGTGGCAAAAATGATGACCTTAAAATGTAGGCAGAGATCCTGCAAGAGTCCCGGATGATGACCCCAGATTGCTGTCACAGGTTAGATGCCGCATATTGTGATCTTCAACAGATAATAGAAACTGAAAAAGACTTGGAATCAGTGGAGGGTTCTAAAGAAGCACTTTGAACACTGAATTCAGTGATATTAGAACCCTGAAACTTTTCTGAACATGGTAGTTTTTGCATTAAATCCTGGGCTCTATTCTGCAATTTATTATTCTTGATCACTGCTGTAATATGAGTTTAATTCTTTTTATGCAATGCATATTTTTTCTTTGCATGATTTAATCGGCCAAATAAATGAATTCTTMTAAAAATGAATTTCTATTTAACCTACAATATATCTAGGGGCATGTTTATTTCTAACAATAGCATTTTCATATAAAATACAATTYTATGCTATAAATTATTTGACATTTGTTGAGCCTTTCTTTTTGCTAAAATGATCAACATGTGCTTGAAAACAATACAGATTCTCTATTTGGTGCAGGCTGCCATGTGACTATATTGGATCAGGTTACTAAATTAACTCTTCCTATCTTACATATCTTGACTCTTTTTTTTTTTTTGCCTGCTTGATTTATCAGTTCCTGATAAAGGAATATTAATAAGTGYAACTGTGATATAAAACATCCAACTTCTCTTTATAACTTGGTCATGTTAGACACATACAAAGTAACAATTGTTTTATCTTTTTTAGGGGATATTGTTTTTATAATTTTGCATTATCCTTGATTCTTTCTAATAATGCTTTGGGCTTTAATTTTATTTGCTCTAATATAAATGTTGCTAGACATGTTACTTTCCTAGGACCACCACAACAAATTATCACAAACTGGGTGGCTTCATCCAACAGAAATTTATTCTCTCACAATTCTGAATTCAGTGAGGTTAGAACCCTGAAATTTTTCTGAACATGATGGTTTCTGCATTAAATCCTGGGCTCTGAAATCAATATGTTGGCAGAGCCATGCTCAGTCCATACACTCCAGGTGAGGTGCCTTCCTTGTCTCTCCCAGTGCCCAGCAGCTCAACTGCTGTGTCCCTGCCTCCCCCAAAACATGGCCATCTTCCTATGCATCTGTGTGCCTTTTGTCTCCTGATAAGGACAAGAGTCACATGGAATTAAAAGCTCTCCCTATTCTCTATGACCTCACCTTAGCTAATGACATCTGCAATGACTATTTCCAAATAGGTTAACTTGTGGGGTACTGGGGGTTAGGACTTCAACCTATCCTTTTGGAGGACACAATTCAACCCCTAGCAATATGTTTCTTTTTGGTTAACATTGGAACAATATATATATWTTTTTCTTGCTTTTTATGTACAATCGCTTTTGTGTTTTCTCTTTAGGGACATCTCTTGCAAACTTTGTTCATTCATTTTATCCAATCTGATAGCCTGCCTTTTAATTAGTCATCTGTTTACATTTATTGTCGTGGCAGATATTTTAACTTATTTTTGCCATCTTTCTATTTACCACCTCACTGCTTCATTTTTCTCTCCTTTCCAGATGTCTTAGCCCAGACTGCTTCAGAAAAGCAGACTCTGAGATAAGGGCTTGTGGGCAGCTGGTTTATTTTAGGAAACGATTCAAGGAATAGGAGTGGGGAGGGGCTGGGGAGAAAAAAACAGCTGATCACCACAATGGGTAAACAGGGCTCACTCCACTATGAGCCCCAGGAGATGCATAGACCACATCTCAGCCTTGTCTATGCAGATGCTGATACTGTTTTTTGAATGCAGTTATGCCATTTTAATTTTTTATTTCTATATTCTATATCATTGTTTTACGTTTGAAGTAGAGGATATTTCACACAGAGTGAATTTATACTACCATTTGGCTGCCTATCATTTAACTTGACATAATCCCACAAAGCACGTTATTCATCATTTTAAAAACACAGAAATAGAGGATGAGAGAAGTGAAGTAATTTGCCTGAAATCACACAGCTGAAAAGTGATGGAACCCAAACTCAGTCTGATTTATTTAACTCCACAGCCATTCCTTCCAACCATAACTCCACCAACTTGTGTGGTATTGTCATGGCATATATTTGAACGTATTTTTTGCTATTTTTTGTGTGAATTGGGGCTAGCTAGTATTCTCCTGAATTACAGGGTCACATCTTATCTCTAAATCACCAGTCCCCAAATGGGGGCAGGGGAGACTCTTCCATGAGAAGTAATAATGAGACAAGCCACTCACTGGTTTCTGTGTGGGTTTAAACCCAGCCGTGTCCAAAGTATCCTAAAGAGACTAAAAATTATAGAAGCCGAGAGATTTTATAAACATTATTCAAAGAAGGGGTTGTGTTGTGTTTTGTTGTGCTGGGTTTTGAGACCACAGCTCTATCTATTCCTCAGAGAGCACAAATTACTAAGTAAATCAGATAATTATCGACTAAGTGACAGACTACTATGATTGAGAAATTAACCATGTCTGTTTTTTTCTGTGGGCTCACGGGAAAAGAATGTGAAGTATTTCCCCCTCTTCCTCTCCAGTGGCCTTTGTGTCTTGGAGGGCTGGGCTTCTCTTACCCCACAGCAAAGTTAGAGGCCCTTCTTTGATTTTCTAAGGGTCTGGAGACCCGATATCCATTGTTAGAGTTGGACAGAGCTGTGGAGAACACCCAGGGCCCCGGGGGGTCATTCAAGGGCTGGTAGGACCCTTGAGTATTGGGCTTCCCAGATGGCACCCTGGAGGTGACAAGAACTTGGGGAATGATTTCCCCTTGGGTGGGGGAAGCATCTGTGCGTGGAACACTTGCACTTGGAGAGGACAGGTGTGAGCAACAGCCACAACTTTTAACTCGTTCACTTGCTTTTGGACAATGAGCAACTGGCAGGGACCGTCATGGACCTGACACCCTTCTCCAGGTTTCTGGGATTCTGAGATCCCAGAAATCTTCATGGAAAGAATGAGAAATTCCCTGAAAAGTGGCTGCAATTGAATTTTTGAGCTCCTGGTAGGTGGGGTCTAAGTATGATTTAATTCAACTTAGAAAATTCATGAAATGTGTCATTTCCCTTAAATCGTAGAACATTTTATACCAGTTATACTAATCATAACCAAATCCTGAAGGAAATTTTTCTAACATATAGGATAAAACAATTGTGTGTGTGTGTGTGTGTGTGTGTGTGTGTGTGTGTGTGTGTGTTGGGGGGTTGTCCCTTGAAATTTGATGATCAATAACAACACAATATTAACTATTCCATCCTGGTAATTTATTCTCCAAATTTTCTCCAGATGAGCTTTTAAAACATCTTGTGATTACATCTGCACCAAATGGAGTTTCAGTGGGAACCTTCATGACTCCTAGGACAGCCTTCAGGATCTCCAAGTACGACTTGGGATCTTGGGGCCTTCTGCTGCAACTTTTAGCCTCAGATTGCAGGCCCTGGACACTTGCCCAGAGCTGAGCATTCGACCAGAAGCTCCTCAGGAGAGGCTGGGAAACACCTCGGAATCTACTACCCTTTCTCACCTGCTGGGCAGGAGTCAGGGAGTGCGTGGGGAGGCAGCAAGTGTGTGCACCTCTATGTATTTAGAATCTTGGTTTCCTCGTGGGAGGAGATTTCACAGCAAAGGTAGACCAACTCCTCGGTTCAGACGCCTTCTCAGAAAACTGCTACCACCTGAGGTTCCCCCACACCCTAGATGAGAACTTTGTTGAGGCTGGGGAGTAGGGAAGGTAGGAGCAGGAGGTGTATAGGAAGCAGACCTGTACCTACAGCTCTAAGGGGCTGGGGAAGTCGAGGAGTGGCGTGGGGAGCAAGGGCACTCCGAACAACCCACCAGTTTCTAACGGAAAAGTTCCAAGGGGCTCCTGCACCTTTGCGCATGCACCAATGAAACACATTAGTGCTGTTCACTGACACCTCTCTTTCCGAGTCCTATTTTAGGGGAACACCTTCCTGCACCAGGAAATGTGTGAGAGGAACTTCTTTTCCAGTGTTGGGGATTTAACTCAGGGCATTGGGCATGCCTGGCAAGCACTCACCACTGAGCTACAGCCCCAGCCCAGAACACTTATTTTCCACGGCCTGCTTCGACTAGGTACTCCTCTGGACACTTTCCTTTGGTCTCATTTAATGTTAACTGGGACCTAGGGTTTTTTGTTTTGTTTTGTTTTTACCCCTGTTTTATAGAAGAGGAAGCTGAGAATCATAGAGGCTAAGTGGGTTGCTCAAGATAGCAAGCTGCTGTCAACCCAGGCAGAAACAGGCAGGCTGAATTCCAGTCAGCATCTCACCTGATCACCCTCTACCTCCAGATTGCTCTCTCTTCATGTAGAAGCACACTTACACACACACAAACACACACACACACACACACACACACACACCAACAAAACTGTAGGTCTGTTGAAAGTCAGCTATTCTTTGACACCCCCCTCCTCTTTCTGGGCTGGGAAAAGAATCTTTAATTAGTATAAGGTTAATAGCATGAACTTTGAAATCAGACTGCCTGAAGTTTAATTTTCCATTTATTACCCCATGACCATGAATAACACTCAACCTCTGTAAGTTTCAGTTTCCTCAACCATAAAATGAGACAACAGGAGTACTTACTTCATTTGTGGTTAGAGAGGTTAAATGAGACAATACCTATGGATGTCTAGCACTTGGCACTGAATAATCACTCAATAATTGGAAGCTATAATTATTCACAATTCTACTTGTGGTGGCAGCAAACCCAAACGTCTGAATGATCAATTTCAAAAGGAGGTGAACTTGGTCCTACCTAGAAAAAAATGATGTGTCATMTACGACGCTGTTGCCAACAGTCTGAAGGGGCTGCCAGGATCAGAAAGGTGGTGAGCAACCAGCTGGCAGGCCTGGAAGAGGAAAGGGGCAGACATCAGGGATCTCTGATCTTGATGCAGAAATGTCTGTGACAGATCCTCTATGACTCTATTTTCAGAGTGTTAGTGGGGTACACTAAGTGCTGGACATTGACATAAACAGGATAAGTATAACCCAGAATAAGGGCTGAAAGCCAATGCTGGGAGGGAGTATAAGGTGGGGGTGCAGCTGGCACCAGGTGCCAGTGAGGGTATCTGCTTTTTGTCCCCATCACCTGCCAGCTGGGAGTCCTGTGCAATAGAATGTGACCAGCAGAATGAAGACCCAGCTATAGACCAACTGTGCCTTTTCTCAACTTCAGTGTGTCTCAAGGGGGATGCATTTTTAATGGTTTTGTTGTCTTGGTTATAAAAAAAAATCCACAAACATTATATAACATGTACTAATTCAGAAAAAGTATGAAATTAAAATAGAATGATGTGGGTTTTTCAGGCACACATATACCTCTATATAAACTTTCTGTGATGGAAATTTTCAAACATACACTAGTTACATAAATAGCATGATGAACACCCATTTACTCATGATCCCCCTTCAACAGCTTGTGTGTTTGTGAGAGTCCCAACTAAACCAACATGGCTTTGATCAACTTTCTAATATGCTAATGAGTTCTAATGATTCCATCATGCAAGTTGTTAAATGTATTCCATCTCCTGGTCTCCAGGCACCTGACATTATGCCCCTTTCCCACCCCCTAAATGCCTCAAGCACCTAACAGAATGAGGAAAGAAGAAATAAGTTAATTCACCTGCACCAAATGATACAGGAAGTAAAGCCAGTGCCTGAAACACAGGAAGTTCTTCCTGAGTAGAAAAATCATAGAAGCAGTAGGCGCTGATGTTTCTGGAGCACTAACCATGATCCGTGTGTCTCTTTCAAGGGCTCCACCTGTACTGTCTTGCTGAATTCTCACCTCAAGCCTGTGGTAGGTCTCATAACTTCATCCCTGTTGACAAATGACACAAGTAAGTTAAGAAGTTAAGCCATTTGCCAACCTTCTTCCAGAGGCAGAGCAAGGATTGGAATCCAAGCTTCCTGACCCCCAGACCCTGTCTTCCTAATCAGCATGCCAGGGGGTTGTGAATCAGGTGTTTCCAAAATGAAGCCTGACATGGGCAAAATGACTCCTGCTGAACAGGTGAGGAGAAAGTTGTTCCCGTTGAGCTCTGCTGTGAAATACACAGAGACCAGACATGTGCTAAATGTGTTCCCTGTCAGGTTTGGAAACAATGTTTGTCATCTACATTGAAGGCCCTTCCAGCAAACGTCACTGTCTCCCCCTCACTCCCACCCCTCTACCAGGCCTTGGTTAGAATTCCAAGTTTAAAAAAAATAAATAAAATAATGCTTTGATGTAAATTTGCATAGGAGAAACTCAGGAGAAATCTCACCAAATATCAACAAGTACCTGTTCCCACCCATCCACAGCCAGAGGGGATAGGAAGGTCTGCAAATTTTTCTTTTCTTTTTTGTTTATCTCAATTTTCTAATTTTTCAATTAACATGAATTACTAGTGTTACAGAAAGTAAAGGAAGGAAGAAAATTAAACTCTAAAGTACTCTTGAACTTTAGTACTCTACGGAGTACTAAAAAGAGAACCCACTGCCGAGGCCTATAAGGAGGCAGTGGGGGCAGAGAGGCTTAGARGCCAAAGTCGAAYTTCACCCTCCAGTTTTCCCCAGGGYCCTCCCTCTTCACAGATTATACTCTAAAGTACTCTTGAACAGGTGGAGGGTGGGGACAGCAGGTGGGGCAGAAGTGGGGAACACAGGGCAATATGAGATGGGCAGGGCCCTGCACAGTCAGGAACTCAGGTCCCAAGAGGGTCAGGCTGCATCTCAGGTCAAGCCCAGCTTGGTATTCCAGGGCACCATGCATGGGCTCCCACCCCACCCTTATAGAATCCCGTGGCAAGTCAGATTATATAAAAAGACAGCCCTCTACCAGCTCTGGCTTCCGAGGGCAATGTGAAGCAGCTGCCTTCTGACACCTCCTCAGGGTCTGCAGTCTCTTGGCAGGTCCTCCCAGGATGAGGGCTGTTGTTCTCATATACTACATTTTGAGATTAAAAATAACCCTCGGCCCAGCTTGGCTGCTCTCTCTTGCCTGGGTGACAGASATGGGGAGGATGGAGGCTTCCAGGCTTCAGGAGTTTTCAACTGGACTGCCCCTCTGACCCACCACATTCCACTTACTGCCCAGCTAGCCACCCTCCAATAGGAGCCCTTGACTTAAAAAGGAGAGGAAAATGAAAGAAAAGGATTTGCAGTTTCTACCAGGTAAGAAAGTTACAAAATCTCACAGGAAGGGTAAGCTAATGTCACTAAAATAGCAATGGAGCAATCCTGAGGGAAAGTGAYGGGCCCTTCATCAACTATGAAGCACCATAAAAATGATGGTTCTATTGCAATGTGAGGTGGGATACGAAGGGCCACAAGGCCTGGCTTGCCCCCAGACAGCTCCACAAGTTAGAAGAGCCACTGTTAGAGTTATTCCCTTCAGACTAAAAACTTGTGCTCCTCCAAAAGTCCCTGTTAAAAATATCTGGGAGGGTGGGTGCTGGTGATTAGAAGTGAGACTTTCTTAGGTTCCCAGAGATCACTGCAGTTTAAAATCTTGCAATTACAAGCCCTCCTTCCATTCTTAATTCTTGCGGCTTCGGATCTGCAGGTAGGTGTAATTAGTTTCCTCTACAGAGGATAAAAGAGCCTCAGAGCAATAAAGCCATTCAGGTGCARCTGTGATTAGAATCCACTGCTCTCACTGTCATTGCCAGTCAGCTCAGATGAGCTGTTTAGCTCCTGGGACCCTGAAGAGGACAGTGGGACAGCATATGGATGAACATTGGAAGAGAACCCACTGCCAACGTGTGTAGGAGGCAGTGGGGGCAGAGAGGCTTAGAGGCCAAAGTCACACTTCACCCTCCAGTTTTCCCCAGGGCCCTCTTGCTTCACAGACTTTGGGGGTAGCAATGCTGGAAAGAAGTCCCCACATTTGGAGTGGCACAAAGCATTCTCCTGGCATTCCAACCACATTTGTTTCATGCTGCTGGCTGGAGCACCRTGTTGAGAAACATGGCATGAGAGACTATTGATGTCTGCTCTTGGTGCCAGGTGAGGGCAGGATGAGACATGTGTTTTAAACATTTGCCATCCTACCCCATAGCACCAGGAGTAAGGGCAATGATGGGAGTGGCCCGAGGCAAGGGATAGGGGGGCTATAGACCACAACACCAGACATTTCTTGGCCTGACAGCAAGACAGCTGCTCAGAAAGCCTGCTKCCTCTTGCAGCTGATGCAGAACCTGAGGCAGTCAACTATCCCACCTGGAAAATGAAGTCACAATGCTCTYCCAATGCTCACTTGGAAGCCTAGGAAATAAGAGGCCAGGTGTCACCTGGATCCAAGCAAGCAGTCTGGACTCCTCAGCAATATTCTGACATTTTGCAGAAAGATGGTATGGAGAAGGAATGGGATGTATGAGATGGGCCCGCATACTCAAAAGGTTAACACAGGARCCCTTTTGGGTGAGTGGGAGAGCTCCATGTACTATGGGAGGTGGCTCTCATGGCCTTAAGAAATTCTAGGAGTTATTGCTAAACTGTATGGCCCTGACTTGGCCCAATCTCCTGCCTTTCTTCACCAGTGGGCCTCCTGCAACCCTACAGGATTTCTCTGTCCCTCTTGCTCTCCTAGCACACCCTGCTCAGGCCCTTAAACTCACTTCATCACCCCCCAACGGATCATCTCAGTTCCTTTTTCATTGTAAAAATAAACGCAGAACTCCCTCTGCTTCCTGTTTTGCTTTTAAATATGTCTCTACTTTATCTTTCTATCCTGCTACTGCCCTGAAAGGCTGGTCCCCTTTCTCCAAAGACAGCCCCCACCTGTATCTTTCATCCCCTTTACCTTCTGTTCCCTTCTCCCCCAGGATTTCCCATCTCCTTCTCTCTCCAGGGACACTGTCCTGCTTGGAGAGCTTCCCTGACCACCTGAAATGTTGGCTTGCATCTGGAACCAGTGCAGCCACCTTCTCATGCCTTTCCTTCATTGCTAAACACAAYGTGTCTCTGGCCTCATGGGTTGGTTGATTGATTGATTGCTGCAAAAGCTGCTTCCACCTTCCCTCTCCCACCTACCCATACTCCATCTTCTAGCGCTAGCACAAAGGTTTCCTTATCACTGAGTTCTGGGCTCTGGCCWGCCTGGAATCTCTTCCCTCCAGCCCACAGATTGCTCATTAGTCTTTTCCCCCATGGTTCCCACACCCTGCATGACCTCAGACACCCAGGTGTTTTCTGAATCCTGAGCATGACTCACTCATGCCCGGGAGTTCATTGACTCAGCTCTGTCACTCCAAACTGAGGGACCTCAGGTCATTACAAATCCTCCATTTCTCATGTCAATTGGTGATGATACTACCTGTCTCACAGAGTTATTTTATTTTATTTTTTTTTATTTTTGGGTACTGGGGATTGAACTCAGGGGTACTCTACTACTGAGCCACATCCCCAGCCCTATTTTTTATTTTTTATTTAGAGACAGGGTCTTACTGAGCTTAGCACCTCACTTTTGCTGAGTCTGGCTTTAAATTTGCAATCCTCCTGCTTCAGCCTCCCCAGCTGCTGGGATTACAGGCATGTGCCACTGCACTGGGCTCACAGAGTTAAAGACAAAATTAKATAATAAATGTAAAGTGCTTAGCATAGCACTGGATAATATTAGGTGCTCAATAGATAACAGTTACTATTAATTATCTTAGAGAGCTAATACATCCTCTCATTCCTGGTTATGGGAGCTCAATAGAGTAGTTAGTCCTGCCGTATTCTGGAAGATCCTTCCAACACTCTGTTGGATTTCTGAAAACACAGTACTGAAGACTATATATACTGTGTTTTTTCTTAATAAGTGTCTAACAGGTAGGTGGCATATACAGCATGGATACACTGGACAAAAGGATCCAAGGTGGGATAGAGAAGAAGGGTGAAAGGTATGCAATTTAAAATTTGTGAATTGTTTGGGACTTTTTGAAGTAATACTATGAGACTTTAGTTTACCACAGGTAACTGAGACTGTAGAAAGCAAAACCATGGCTACAGGGGACAACTGTAGATAGCCAGTCTATTGTTGGATACCATTAAGTTGTTAGCAAGTTTTCCCTTACTTATTTAGCAAATTCCAATATAATGCATACTATATCAAAGGCACTCTCTATAATGCTTTACAAAATCTCATTATTTTAACCCTCATGACAACACCATGAGGGTTTCTTATTTAATAGAAAAGGAAATAAGGAGCAGAGAGATTAAGTAACTTGTCTAAGGTMACAGAGTTGATATGTGGCAGAACCAGGCATTGAACCAGGGCAGTCTAACTACAGTTCTTGCTCTTGATACTATACACAGCTGCCTCTTAATTTAAAAGACATAGATTAACTCCTGTTCATGGGAGTGCTCTAAAGTAACACAGAACCATGCCTACATTGATTTCATTAAGGTGCAGATGCTGCCATCTTGTTCACTCTTTGTTTCTTCCTTCGTTGATTAGGAAAGTACTTACGGAATRTCAAGTACATGCCAGCCAGTATGATGTGGCAAGGCCCAGTGGTGAACAAAATAGGCACAGCCCCTGCTTTCACACTGCTGTCAGAACTTTTCAGTGGCTGGTGGTGCCTGGCACACAGCAGAGACTCTGTGGAGCAGAGATCTGAGGAACAGGATCCCTCTCCTTGGTGGCCCCAGCAATCCCTTCCCCAGTGGTTACCACAGGAACACAAATTTTTCACTAGAGGGCGCCGTTCAGTAGGGCTGMCCCAAGGACTTAATTTGTGCAGAAGAGTTTTGAAGGGCATTGTTGGGGTGGTCCAGGGGACCTTAGAGTGTATGGTGACAGGAAGCAATCATTCATATTTTATCAGAGAGGACCTTGCCTGGTTTCTGTTCTTTTGAGCAGGCATCAGGGCTCTAGGTCCCTGACCAAGTCCACATCAGTGGCCACAGCAGATTGCTGGACCCTGAGGGAACCGAACAGGCAAACACTGGACCTCCCTTAGGTTCCTGACCAACCAGTCCAGGGTGGACCCTTCCATGTCCATACCTGCCCTGAGGGAGCCCCTTCATCTTCAGAGCCTCCTGGCCAAAGCTGAGACCAAGGTCTGGTGGTGAAGGAACAACTGGCTTCAGGCTTGCAGCAGTTTGGGGCACACAGGAAAGATGACCCAGCCTCAGTTGGCCACATGGAGCTAAACATGGGTGGAAGTGTCAGTTCCAACTGATGACAAGTACTTGCATATTACAAGGCCAGAGAATAASCCTCAAACCAATTTTAAGTTGGACCTGCCTCCATCCCTGCTCATGGCAGGCAGGGCTCCTCAGGGTCTGATCTGGAACCTTCTGGACCTCACCTATTCCCACTCTCCTTGCCCACTGCCCTGGTCACGCTGRTCTCCTCCCAGGCTCAGGGGCACACCTACCCCTCCCTGCCCTTCCCCCTGCCGGGAATRCTCTTCTCCCAGTGGTGGAGGAGCCTGTTTCCTTCTCATCATGCAAGTTCTGCTCAGATTTCACCCCTTCAAAGAGGTCTTCCCAGAACACCCTGCTTAAAATACCTCTCGCTCCAGCCATTCTATCCCCTTGACCCTTTTTATGCTCTTCAAAGTGTCAAAGTATAATTTACAAAAGTTAAAAACAGGACTCATACAAAAATAGAATGAACACACATCAGAATTTAACTTGTTAATGAAGAAACCAGGAAGATTGCTTAATGCTGGTTCCACGCTTGTTAGAGGAATTGAATGTTATGGGCATTAAAAAGAAAAAATATTAAATAAGATCAGTAAATTAAATACAAATATGCTTACTGTTTTACAGGGTGACAAAACCATAATCTCTGGGATGGTCATTTTTACTGGCTAGAAACCTACAAGTTAACATGCAACTTCCCATTGTCTGAGCTTTAAGTCAATAACAACTAGATAGGTGAACTACAGGTACATCATCTAGAGCATTAAAGAATCTGGGTGGTCCTATTAAGCCCTCATGTGACTGAAAGCACATACTGCACATTTTTGTCTATTTCTAGGTTCTGCTAATTTTTCTCAACAATAGCATTATCTCTGTCTCAGATTGTCTTGTGTATTTGTTTGCTTATTGTCAGTCTCAACCTACTGGAATAAAAATTTCATGAAGGCATCAACTTTGCATCTTGATGACCCCCACATCCCCAGATTCCTTCTTCAGCAGTTTAGGGCACACAGGAAAGATGGCCCAGCCTCAGTTGGCCACATGGAGCTAAACATGGGTGGAAGTGTCAGTTCCAACTGATGACAAGTACTTGCATATCACAAGGCCAGAGAATATGCCTCAAATCAGTTTCAAGTTGGTCCTGCTTCCATCCCTGCTCATGGCAGGCAGGGCTCTTCAGGGTCTGATCTGGAACCTTCTGGACCTCACCTGTTCCCACTCTCCTTGCCCATTACTCTGGTCATGCTGGCCTCCTCCCAGGCCCAGGAGCATACCTACCTCTTCCTGTCGGCTACCCTGCCGGGAATGCTCTCCTGGTACAGAGTAGGTATCCAATAAGTATTTGTTGAACAACAAAAAGGACGTCACGTAATCAAAAGTTATTTGATGGGAGACTGAAAGTAGAGTTGTGGTTCTGAGAGGCTGAGAGGAGGGGGTGGGGGCTTACCGTTAAATTGGTACATGAAAAAGTGCTGGGAATGGATAGTGATGATGGTGAACCACGTGACTATATTTAATGCCCCTGAACTGTACACTTAAAAAAAATGGATAAAATGGTAAAATTTTATGTTATGTATACCACAAGAAAAGTCACATGCTTATTAAAGAGCCTGTCATCAAGGGCTTGTTCCATGGCAGATGCTGCTGTAAGCACTGTGTGTATATCAAATCATTTCCCCGAATGCAATAGACATTTTCTCTATTCCCATTTATAAGTGAAGGAAGGAGGTACAAAGAAGTCAGGCAACTTTTCAAAAGTCACACACCTAGCAAGTGCAAGAGATAGATGGGTCTCAAGGCCAGGCAGACAGGCAGACTGTGTTCCTAACCACAGATGTACTTATGATTCACATTATTGATATTATACGAGTTTCCAAGAAGAGTAATCCACCTTGCCTGGAGACATCAAGGAAGGCTTCCTGGAGGAGTTGGAGTGTGGGCCAGACAGGCTGTCATATGGGGGTGCCCAATCCATTTCCTTGTACTGTGGTTGCTGTGCTTGACAGGTTCCTGATCTAACTCACTGCTCTAAGAGCTCCCAACCCCCAATCCTGGAGCTCTCCACATGTGTGGTGGGTGGGGTCAGGGTACAGGCACAGCCAGTAGCTACTTCTCTTGCCTTTGCTTTAGTGGTAATGAATGGGCTCATTGGCCTAGCAATTAACTACAAGGGAAGGGATTTTGCTGTGTCCTTAATAGGGACCAGCTTCCACAGAACAGCTTAAGGAGGGGTGGTGGCCGTTGGGTCCATGAGGCAGGGGCAGTGCTTAAATACTTTATTACACAGACAATGCGCCACACCTGGTCTAGCTGCGCAGCCCCTAGAGAATTCTGGATATTCTGGGCTCTTAGCACACAGTTCAGAACAAAAGGAAAGGCTCAAGGAATGGGTCTTTAATTGCAAAATAGATGGTATTTCTGAGTGGACAGAGAGAAGATTTCTGAAGATGCCCCTCACCCTAAAAACCAATGCACCCACTGATTTCTCAGCAGCCCCAACCTGCTCGGCTGGAGCTCACCACCCACAGGCTTTGCCTGAAGTGATTTCCTGTAGACATTGGAAGGTTCTGCTTCTGCCAGGCCTAGGCGCTGCCTGGGTTCAAATGAAGAAGGCCTCTGAGCTTCCACAAGCTTTTTAAGGGGGAGGCTATTGACCAAGAAATTTCCCTGAGGCAGAGTGGTAAAATAAAATATTTGTGGGCCAAATCCTATTTCCTGTTCTTGAATACAATGGCTCTTTCTTTAAAGTAAAAATCTGAACCAGTGAAGACAAAGGTTATTGTTTCTGTGAATTCTGTTTGCCTAAAATGAGGCACATCTCTTTTCAGCTGCTTGGAAGCCTGCTTTTGACATTTCCAGCAATCACTCTATTTTGGGGACCTGCCTTGCCAACATGTCCCTTGGGATTTTAATTCTCATGAAAGCCTGCAGGGACTGCAGTTTCATAGAAACAGGGGCGGAAACCAGTGCGGGGCTCACACAAAGTCACGTAGATGGTAGGCTACACAATTGGCTACACTCAAAGGCATACAATCATTAGATGGCTGTTCTCCACATTTGGCTTCYCTCTTTCCTTCCTGCAGAAAGGTGAAGACGCATGATGAATGATCATTCAGCAAGATTCAGAGCAGATGAAAGGTAAGCATATTAAATCTATGATGCTGAAAACCCCAAGAAACCCCACTTTCCAGTCAAATCAAATGTTATAATTGCTCTATTGCTTTAAACATGGACACCCAGGAACATGGAAGGAACACTGCCACAGCTTTTCTTATTACTTCCCTGACTTGGCCAACCAGTTATGCTGAAAATGAGGCAGAAATTCCAAATTCAAATTAAGTGCTCTTATTTGCACAGACTGGTATTGTGCTAGGCAGAGTGGCACATGCCTGTAATCCCAGTCTTTTGAGGCTGAGGCAGGAGGATTCCAAATTGGAGGTCAACCTCAACAACTTAGTGAGACCCTTTCCCAAAATAAAAAAAAAGGATTGGGGATGTACCTCAGTGTAAAGTGCCCCTGGGTTTAGCCTCCAGTATCAAAAATAAATAAATCAATAAACAAATTTTTTTAATTGGCATTGCGTAATATAAAGGAGAGTAAAACTAATACTCATCATCTAAAATTCTGACTTTTCTGTACTTGGAATAACATTAAGTAGAAAATTTAAAACACTAAGACAATTGAGAAAAAGACACTGGCAAAAGGAAAAAAAAAAACTTTACATTTTAGTTACCAGTATTTCTTCCTGCCTTTTGAACAAGGGGTATTTTACCTGTATTTTATATAAGGGTCCATAATTTAGGTGGTTGGCTCTGGAGACAGGTCCAGGGTCAGAATATGGCTTGCATCTAGGTAATCTTGGGCAATTCTAGTCCTAGTTTTCTGTGTGGAAAAATAGAYAGTAGTCTCTCCTTATCCACAATTTTGCTTTCTGTGGTTTCAGTTACCCATACTTAGTCAACAAGTATCCAAAAAAAAAAAAAGAAAAAGAAAATCTCAGAAATAGGCAATATAAGTTTTAAATCACATGTTCTTCTGCATAGCATGGTGAAATCTCCAACCTTCCCACTCCATCCCACCCTGGATGTGAATCATCCCTTTGCCCCAGATATCCATGCTGTATGCACCACCCACCTGTTGGTCCACCCGTTCRTCTCTTAGCAGCAGTCTCACTTATCAGATCTACTGTTGCCATATCACGGAGCTCGAAATGAAGTAACGCTTATTTTACTTCATAATGGCCCCAAAGTGCAAGGATAGTGATTTTATTGTATATTTTGTTATAATTGTTCTATTGTACTGTTTTTATCATTGGTCTCYTATTATGCCTGATTTATAAATTAAACCTTTATTGTAGAGATGTATGTATAGGGAAAAAATAGTATATATAGGGTTTGAAACCATACACAGTTTCCAGGCATCCATGGGGGGTCTTGGAACGCAGCCCTCATGGAGGGGGTGCTGCTGTGGGACCCGCAGCCCAGAGGTTAAGGTGAGTGGAACAGTGGCTAGGCATGCTGCTTCCTCAGGACAGGTAGGCCTCTGTGCTAACTCCACTGTTCCATCTCGTTTGTTGTTTGCAACAACCAATGGTATCAGAGGGAAATATTGTCCCCGCTGGTGGATTTCTGTGATATTTTTGGCTTCCAGCAGCCGTTCACCCCTTCTGGTACTGCACCCCAGCTCTGTTCTAGAGAACAAACTCCATCTTGCTATACCTAGTCCTAAGTGGAACGATATCATATCCTCACCCAGCCAACGTGTGGCTGAGTGACCCTAAAAGGCAGTTGGACTGTCCCCAGAATTTGAGTTCCTAACAGGATCTGACTTATCCCAGTCCTTGCTGCAGGTTCTGAGATGACCTTGGTTTGGTTCTGGGCTCCAGGATTCCTGGAAGAACTCTGGGGCCTGAAATTTCTGAGTCCCCTCTTTTTGCAGCAGCCCCTCTCATTCTGGGTAGTGCCTAGATCCAGCCCCTAATTTCCTTTTCTTATAAATGAAACAATCTATTTCCAATGTCTGCAACCAAAAGTCCCAGCTGACCATCCTCAGCTGTGAGATGAGGAAACCAGGGCCAGAGAGGTTAGCAGGCTTCCAGGAGGTGAGAGCAGAGCCAGCGCAACCCAGGGCATCTTAGGCTGCTCAGCCACAGTATAAGGTACCTGATGAGATGTCATTCGGTGAGTGTTAGTTCCCTGCTTTTTGATTTTTACCCAGCCGTGACATTTGCTGCCTTTCTGGGTGATTGCCTCCCTTACTGCTCAGCAGTCTTCCTCTGGTGTCCCCAGATCAATTGCTGATCCTCACTCTGAGGGCCTCCACAGAAGCAATAGAAAGGGAGGAGCTGGAGGCTCCAGACTCATACTCAGTGCAAAAGATGAGCCAGCCTCTGGCATGAGCAGCCTTGACTGTAAAACGTTCTGTAGGCTCAGTCCTCCCTTTAGAGCACCAGGAGCCCTGGAAGACTTATCCCATCCCTTACCCCAGACTCTGAGGTGACCTTTGTTCAGTTCTGGACTCCAGGGTCCCTACCCCACCCCACATCCAGGCTGGCATTGAGTCCCCTAGGGCTCTGGTTTGATGTCCTGTCCTGTGTGTCTAAGGAGAGCCAACCCTGTCGGCTGCCTTACACAATGAAGGACAAAGTCAACAGGCCACTCACCTGGCTGAGTGTGAATGCCASGACTTGTCCTGGGCAGGCAGGACTGACTTCTGCCCCAGCTGGCCTTGCCTCATTCCTGAGAGAGAAAGTMGATGGTTTGTCTCTAGCACAGGACGAAACCTGCATGTCTGCCTTCTTCCCCTCCCCCACACCCTTCCTTTGTCTCCCTCTCCTCTCCTTGTTTTCATAGTCACAAATGCAATGGACTAAATTCTGCTCCAGAGACATGGCTGTAGGTGCCACTTTCTTTGGTAGTAGATGCCATTTTTTTTGCTATCAAGGAAATGAATGGCTCAGGTAAAAATGAGCATGAAAAGGATACCAGTGCATCAGGATAGACACCACGAGATGGTCTTAAATGATGTTGCTAAGTGTTAAATTTGTGCGTAGGTGTGTTCATTCCAAGGAACCCCCTTATTAGTTTATTTGGTCCTTATTAAAACCCCATAGTCAATGGAATTAATGAGAGTCACTTTATGAGTTGAGGCTACTGAGGTGGAGAGAGGTGGGGCCAGCCTACTAATGTCACTGGACCAATATATAGCAGAGTCCCTTTGGATGCCCAGCACCTGGTTCACACTGCATCACCTGTGCTCCACCCAACCTTGGAGCCCAGTACTACCTCTCTACTCAGTATGGTTCCACGAGAGCCCTGGGCAGTGTGCTTCTTAATGCCCTAGGTGGCCACTGCAGATGATACATATTCCATATCACATGTCCCTTCTGTCAGTGGGACCCTTACAAACTTCATATTTGGAGTAACTTAAAGCCACTATTTCTCTTGGAAAGCAAACATGGAATGAGATTTAGACCTAAGTCATGACTTAATTCTTTCCTAGATGTCAGACAGCAGTTACAATAAAGTGGTGTCTATGAAATAAAGCCTAACCAAGTATCTATGTCAGAAGAGCAGATCCAAATTAATTTGCTTGTTTGGGATTTCAAGGTCCTTTGTGTCCTTGGAAATAATCCCTATGATAAGAAGCACAGATGGTGGTATATGAGCTCCAGGAGAAGGGGAACATTGTGGGCCTTGCTCAATGCCACCTCACATCTAGAACAGTGCAGATATGCCTAGCAGGTGCTCAGCAAGAATTTGTGGAGTAAATGAATGAATGCTCAGCTTCCACTCTTCTCTGCAAGGTGGGTAAGATATCCTGGCAGGTGGAGACCCTACATTGAGGGGTTCCTCCTCCAGCCAGYACTCCACACATTGTGATGTCATTTCATCTTCCTGAGCAGGGAGGGACTTAGAAAGTCTGGAGTTCAGTCTTGCTAAAGGTAATACAATTAATAAAATTAATAATTCGCAGGGCTGGAACTTGAACCCAGGTCTAGCTGATTCTAGGCTTTCTCTTCCCCACTGACCCATACCACACCTTCTAATGCCCTTAGAGGCCCACATGTTGACAGTACTAAAGCCTCTTATCTACAAGGCAGCCATCTGCATGTCCTGCTGGCTGTGCAGGTGGAGGTGGGCCGATGCCTCAGGTGAGTACACATTAGCTGCAGGCAGAAAAGCAACAACTAGAGAATCAGTTCCAGAAAGAAGTGAAGACACAGCGTGTGTGTTTTATATGTCAGTCTGGATTTCAAAGGCAGATAGAAGTGAGCATTAGTCTCAATTCTGCATCCTCATGGCAAATGTTGTCTTAAACTCCTAACATGCTTTTTTTTTTTTTCCAAGCAGTACTGGGGATGGAACCCAGGTACACTCTACATCTGAGCTACACTCCCAGCCCTTTTCATTTTTTATCTTTAGACAGGGTCTCACTGAATTGCTGAAACTGCCTGTGAACTTGAAATTCTCCTGCCTTATCCTTCCAAGTAGCTGGGATTACAGGCATGCACACTGCACCCTGCTTCATTTTATTCTGTTTGAGCTGCCAGTGTTCAACCCCAGGGCCTCACATATGCCAGGCAAGTGATCTATCACTGAGCTACATCCTCAGCCTCTAACACACTTTTAGGGACACCCATGGAAACTACTATTACAAACAGCGTAGGAAATATAGAGAAGAATTAGAACCCTGGGGAATTTAAATTAAGAAGCAGTTTATTATATAAACTCAGACCATCCGGGAGTGCTGAAAACACCTACTTTTCTAAAGGCTTTCCTGGCAGAAGGTGGCTGGCAGGTCTCAGGCATCTGGGTGGAGAGAACCCCWGCAGCTGTTAATCTGCTGCTGCCCAGTGAGAATGTGAACTGGCAGCTCCAGAGGTCAGGATGAAAACAGCTCTCTCTCAACTTTACTCCCCAAGGCAGCTCACATTACTCAGGACACTTAGATTCCTCTCTTCCCCTATGATGGATCCCGCAGGCCCTGGTCCCAGGTATGTGTGAGCCATGGTGGAGCAATCCCTCTGCATCAGTGTCAAATGCCATTCTAAAATGTGCAAAGCAGCTGGAAAGAGCAGACAGCCCGGCTACACTCCCAGGGTGGAGGTGAAAAGGCTTGCTACTAATGAAAGGAA